GCTTCGTCGTAGCCCGCACACCTCCTCAACCCACGGGTTTTCCTCCCATCAGAAGACTGACCTCCAGAATCGCTGTTCTAATTGAGAAAAACCGCGGGCTCAGCTGCCTACCTCCCAAAGCCTCAGAAACACTCAGGCGCCTATCAAACGGGCTCCACAACTACGGCCGAAGGAACAGACGGGGCGCACCACAGAGAAGAGAGGGAGAGAACGGTTTCCTGCTTTGGAACTATGCCCTTGCCCGGCTTATGGCGGTGTTCTAGAGGAAACCGGAAGTAGGGCTCCTGTGCAGCTCTCGCCCTCACGAGAAAGCTCTATGCCAACTGCGCCTGGACGCCGCCTTGCTGGACGTCTCTGTTGCTATTGGCAACGAGGGGACAGACTCTGGAAATTAGGGGGCAGACAATAGAACAGATCATGACATGCAGGAAAGGGGGGGGGGCACACCCAGAATCAAGAGTGTGAGAATAGTGACGCACTTTAAAACTCGCTGGCTCTGCCGCTGAGAGGTACGGCTGAATAAGCGTGAGCCAGAGCGCCAATCACAACCATAGGCGTAATCTTCGTGGGGGCGGCGGGGCGTGAGCCCCCGCCGAAATTTTCAGGAAGGTACTCAGCCTCCCCCGGGAGCCACCCTTGCTCCTAGCAAAGCAATGCCTCTGGTCGAGCCCCAGCCCCCCCCGGGAAATTGGAAAGTCTACACCCTTGATCACAACAGCAGTCATGTCGCTCTTCGGCCCCAACCCCAAAGGCACGAACGCCAGAAGCGCTTGAGTCGGAAGACTGACGGAGGCTCGAAAAGCCCTGGGGACACAGTCACGTGTTTGTTTGCATGCCGCCCACGGATAGGTGGTTGTCTGCCGCTGGCGCAACGTGCTGTGGACGCGCCCCAACAAAGGTCGTCTGCAAACGCGCACCAACCTGTGCCAAAATCTGACGTCTACGCGTGACTGCCGCCGCACACGCAGGTCAGCGAAGGGAGGGAGAGATGTCAACTTTTCCTCTACCGAAGCCGCTTGGAGGACAAGTGGGATTTCGATCGCAAGCATCATCATGGGCGCTCGTTTTATTGACTTGGCGGGCTGCTGAGTTTGTAGCTGCGCTTACTGGGAATCAGTTCCGTTGAGCTCAGTGGCACTGACTTCCAGGAAAACTGCTGTGCTACGTCATTTGCATTCCGTTCCTAAAATGCCTTTTTAATAGAATAGGTTTCAGTGGGCTTATTTTCAGTACGAGAGTGCAACATCGAGATCCCTGTTCTTTAAGTGTTATCTAGCAAATGAATGCTTTAAAAAAAAAAAAAAAAAAGCTCTAAACCTCTGATTAAGTCTTGAACTGGGACAACCCCGCCCGTGAATTGCGTTTGAGTCCAGTGGCGGCACCTGAATCAGCCTTGTAGCAGGACATGCTAATACTTCCCCCTGGTGGCACCTGGAAAAGAACAAACTTTTCGCAATTTACCATTGTGAAGGCGGTAGCCCAGATCTTCCGGAAACTGAATTACATGCTAGGGAATAAGAACGAGCCAAGAGCTCCAAAGTGGAGTGCATGTGAAGCAGGCATAAAATCGACAACTGCTTACCAGTCTGGGACCCGATGAGCTGGTCCAGCCAGGGCCTGCCGCCCTAGGTGTTATGTATTGGAAATTGCTTACATGAATCGCCTCATTCACTCCCCATGCAAAGCTTGAGCCGGATGAAGGCTCCACTGAACCGCATTGCCATTGGTCGGCCTCTCACTGCGACCAATCAGAACTATACAGGCTCCAGAGAGGGAAAGACTCTCATTGGTCTTTAACTATGCAATCTTATTGGTTGTTATCTGTAAATAGGCGTGGCTATGTTAGCCCGGGAATGTTTAAAAGGAGCCTAGCTCCCAATGTTGTTCTGTTCTGGTTATTAACTGCGTTTGAGTGCTTGTTCATTCCTTCATTAAAGCTGAATCACTTGCTGAAATCACTCTCTGAGTCTTTGTTAGTGCGATCTAACAATTGGCGACAAGGGTGGGATGTTAGAGCAGGTAGGCAGCCCTGCTAACAACCCCACTACCGAAGGAAACGAGCAAGGCACAGCGGCCCATCCAGCGGAGGCACCACCAGCGCCGGTGCCCAAGCCTACCGGGATGGCCGATAACCGGAGGTTCGAATCGTTCGAACCGGCGACTGAAGACTGGGACTCGTACCTCGCAAGGTTTGAGTTCCACTTGGAAACCAATGATATCACAGACGAGGCTAAGAAGAAGGCATGCCTGCTGAGTTCCTGCGGGAAAGGCACCTTCGATATCGCCAGGTCATTGGTTGCTCCGACTGACATAAAGACCGTGGCCTTCGCAGACCTCACCAAGAAGCTGAAGGCACATTTCTCCCCTCAGCCATCTGAAATCGCTTGCAGACATGCTTTTTACAAGCGGAACCAAGCAGCCGGGGAAAGCATCGCAGAGTTCGTGGCGGCCCTACGAAAGGCGGCGCGGCCGTGCAACTTCGCGGATGTTGAGAACGCCCTCAGAGACCGGCTCGTGTGTGGCCTTCGAGACGAGAGGCTACAGCAACGCTTGTTCGCTCGCACTACCCTGACCTGGGCAGTGGCATATGAGGAGGCTGTCGCGGCAGAGGCAGCAGACAAGTCCACCAAGGAGGTTCGGCAGCGCCTAGCGTCCACAGAGCAGCGCGTTCACTTCCAGTGCCAGGACGAAGAGGGCGTTGATGCGCTTGAGGATGTC